ATTTCCTGGCTGCTGGTGCCAAGAGTGTTGACTGTGGAGCCGAGCAAACTGAAGCTGTGAACAATCTCAATCTCTTCGCCATCCATCCTGATGCTCCCAATTGGTCCAGTGGTGAGAATCTTTGTCTTCTTGACACTGAGCCTCAGTCCATACTGAAGGCTGCAGTCTTTGACCCTCTGCAGTAAGTGCATGAGGTCCTCCTCAGTTTCAGCAAGCAAGGTTGTGTCATCTGCATAACTCAGATTGTTGATAGATCTTCCACCAATCCTGATGCCGCATTTCTCCTCATTTAGCCCAGCCTCTCAGGTAATCTGCTCTGCATACAGGTTGAAAAGGTATAGAGATAGGACACATCCCTGGCGTGCACCCTTCCCAATTTTGAACCATTCAGTGTTACCCTGCTCTGTTCTGACGAAAGCCTCTTGGTCCAAGTATAGGTTTCGCATTAGCATGATTAAATGTTCTGGGATTCCCATTCTTCTCAGAGTCAGCTACAAAAAGTAAATCTGGCTTTGACGTTGTTCAGCCAGCATGTTCCTTGGAAGAGATGAGGAAGAGAACTCATCTCACATTCTTTGTGCACGTTTTCAGGAGAGACCCTAGCGAAGGACATCATGCTGGGTAAAGTACCAGGGTAATACACACAATGGCTACAATAACAGGCGATTGTGGGATGGTGCAGGAGTGGGCAGAATGAAAAGTCTGTTGTATATAAGGTTGCTATGGTGCCCCAGCCACTCAGTGGTAATGATATCTCTAAATGTTATTTCCATACCTGTCCCTTCTCTTTCTCTCTCTCTCAGTATATATACATATATATACTGAGATTAATTAGATCCTTCCTGTTGTTGATTGTGGTCAAGTTATAAAGACCCTATAAACAAAAGACCTGAAGCCTTTGTATAACTATAACTATCATCATTTATCAAAGTTCAAAGAGTTTCCAGAGGCATATTGTTTAGGAAGGGGATACCACTCCTGCTTTCACATTAGGTCCTTACATGTTCATTTTCAGCCCAAACATTTCAACATATTCAACTACCTATCTGACATCTCACTTAGAGAGCTAGCAACTTATTTATAAAGGTGCTGCTCTGTCAAAGTTTCATTTCTTAACTCAGCGAGGTCATACTTTACCTAGTTTTTGAGCTTAAAGGACCTTTCTTTCTCATATCACTTCATATACTGAATTAATCACTCAGTTCTATTGATTCAAAAGCCATTCAAATTATGCAGATCATTTTAATGTAAAGTTTAAGCAGACAGAAATATGAGAAGGCTCAGATGAGGCTATGGGGAGTCTGCCTGAGGGATATCCAGAGCAGATAAACGCATGTCTACAAAGCTTCTTGCTACATGTTGTGCATTCTTTAGGAATTTGTTTGGAAAATTTCAGAGGCTTTTGTTGGTGTGTTTTGTTTTGTAGGCCACCACAGCTCCCTCAACAACAACTACAGGGGGTTGCTGTTCTGAGTTGTTTTTGTCTGGAACTTACCTCTCCACACAGTCTGAGAGTCTGGAAGTCAAATTGGATGCAGGAGCGTCGTGTCCTCCAATGGCATAGAGCAATCCATTCCAAGTAGTTACTCCGACTCCACCTCTCCTCTTGGACATTTGTGCGCAGAGTGTCCATTTATTGGTGTGAGGATCAAAGCATTCTACTGACTTGAGACAAGAACTTCCATCACGCCCTCCAACTGCATAAAGTCTGTAGGAGGAAGAAATGACATGAAACATGACATAGCTTTTCTAGTATGCTTAATATAAAGAACCACAAAAAGTATTATCTTGTTTCCAATTTTTAAAAATTTATATTGGTTTGCATACAAAATTCATGTGCATTGTGTTTCATTTATGTACATGTTTCTAACATTCCTTCACTCACAAGGTGTTTCAAACACTCATTCCCAGACACTGTTAACATGAGGAGGCTGTGCTCACTGCATTTGATCAGCTGTAAGATCGGTTTATGACTACCTCTGTCAGTGTATATACCATGGTGAGAGAAGTTATGCTACCAGTTAAATGAAATTTGTGTGTGTACATACAGTTAAACTGGGAAGAGCCAGATCTTTTTTTTTTTTAATGAAAATTTTCATCTGGAGAACAACCACTTGGCCAACTGACTGGAAGAGATCTATATTTGTTCCCATTCCAAAGAAAGGTGATCCAACTGAGTGTGGAAACTACAGAA